TTTTGGTAAAAAGTGATATTTTTGACTTGTTGAAAACCGCAAGTCCAATTGCTTTGATATTACATATATAGGTACTACATGTGGTCCTCTCTCAGATTTGTTAATTTCGTGGTGATATCTTCAACTATCTAATTTTTTGGTGAAAAGTGATATTTTTGAATTCTTGTTGAAAACAGTAAGTCCTGTTGCTTTGATACTATACATATTGTTCATTTTCTAATGATGTATTCTGTCCTTTAATTGCAATGTGCATTGCTAACAGCGGAGCCATCTCAGCCGACAGGCTGCTTGTTGTATGTATTGTGCTATTTCTCAGCCAGTTCGACTCGAGTAGCGATTGGTTTGCTATTCATTACATCCTGCAGCCTTTCAAACAGTATATTGCTTGACATGCATCAATTGTTGTCCATCAATATGCTACAACCTCTGCTTACTTTTGACTAAATGTTTTTTTTCAGGTGCAGAGCCAGAATTTTTTTCTCGGAAAGCAAAGCCACTGAAACTGCATATATTACAAAGGCATACTATTCGCTGCATGTCTGACAATTGTATAAAGTTTTGCAGGTCGTCTTTTTTTTTTCTTTGAGAAGTGCTGTCAACCAAAGCATAAAAGTTCAATTTCACACGATTTGTTAATATTAATGTATGATAATAAAAACTTGATAATATTTTTCTGGATTCTTGCACTTTATTTGTATCATTGTCATATGAGAAGTACTCTTGTCCTTATTTAGAGATATTGAAACTAATTCGGGCCACAAACTACATGTAGATCTATACATGAAGTACATGGGAAGTAAAGTTGGTGACACAGGTAATGTACACCAAGGATCATTGCAGTTTCTCAGTTCCTCATCTGGTGCTAGTACTTGTATGACAAGCGGTATCTTTCCCCCTTTTACTGTTTGAAATATCAGAAGTTTTTCGCTGGAACAGTTCTGTGATTGACAGTGTTCTTGTATTAGGAATACAGTTGTACAAGGAAGTTTATCCAAGCAGACACAACACTGACTCTTCAACATATTTGCAGATCTGATTTGCATACTTGCATGTCATTTTACCTGATGTATTTGTTTGTTGCTCTCTGGTGTTCTTGCTGAGACCAGGATGGAGAGGGCTATAAACTTGAAAATGCCATGTAGAAATCATGTTTGCCAATTTACATCCATGCCAAAAACTGGACAAATTATATGTTGCAACTTTCAAATGACAACAAGTGAAGGCAGTGTCATTCATGACCTGTTTGATTGGATAAATTTTTACGACTTGGCGGCCATTTTTTTCCTCAAAAATTTAGAAAAAAACAAGCTTTTTCTAGCTGTTAACAGCTTTTTCTCAGATATGTCATCCAGTTTTGTTCAAAGTTGGTACAGAGACAGGTAATAATTGTTTACAAGTGCACATCGCATTATATGTTTAACAAGTTATAAATTGTGTCAGAAAAGCCAAATGAATAAATTTTTACCCCACCCCCTAAAATTGTAACACATCAATTCTGAACAATTAATAACGGAATTTTAATACAGCTCATAATGAATTAATTCACTCTGACACAAACCCAGTTCAATATAAGTTTTAAAATTTTTTTCTGAGCGGGGGCTATGACATGTCATGTCTTGTTTGTTTTAACCTTCTCCGATTGACATTCTTTTAACAGGGGGCTCTCATTACAGCTCCCAGGTTTTACAGCAATTCCAGGCACTGATTTGACGCCGAAGTAGTGCTAGATGTTGATAACTTACTACATTAGGTTACACACTTTGTTTTCACATTTACAGAAGTTTTAACAAATAATGTAGACAGCATGTATAGCAATTTGGAGCGTACCGGAAGAAAGCTCTGCCCATAAAAGTGGCAGTGCATTAGTTTTGAATTTCTCCTCCAATAAACTATCGAGGCTTTGAACTTAGTTTCCTACTTCAATTTGCGTCACATGTTATTTCAGTAAAAGGGGCGCATAAAGTGGTGGCACTGTAAAGAACGTTAGTTACCGGTAGAGCTATTTTACAGAACCAGCTGACCGACTGATCATGGCAGAATTGTTGATCAAAGTGCATTATTCCTACTATGGAAATATCCGTATCACGCCAATGTATATAACTGAAAGTTGCCTGCAACAAATGTCCTGTGAAGACTTCGTCCAGTATATCAATAATGAAATTGAATACATGAGTAGAATGGGTGTTATTCGAATATTAGTTCTCGACGATGAGAACCAAAAGGTTGATGTGCCACTAAATAATCGCTTTAAAAAGATTATCACTAGCAACAGTCTTCGAGTAGTATTTGTCAAATTTCCTGTCCGTAAATGCGTGGTTTCAATGATTTATAATATTTGACAAAGTCTGTAACGTTGTCAGTTAGTTTTTTAGTCGTGGATTGGACGCTCTTACGCTTTCCTGGCAGGATACTCTCGGTGGTATTATATTATATTATAAGCTGTCTGATTTGAAACACCATTTCGATCTCCAATCTCAGCAAATGACAGTCCATGAAAATACAAATCGACAACTCTTGTTCTCACTTCAACTGCTGTTTCGACTCCTTGCTTCTCTATCGTGGTCTTTAAACAATTTGGACAAATGACAATTTGTAGACACGTAATCAACACGATGAATGACCAAAAGTGACTGAAAGACGGACACGCCTCAAAGTCTGGGGAATAGAAAACATTCTGGGCAATATCTGTCAATCATTCCTCTGATTTGCAGCCGATGTTTATATTTCTAGTTACAACTTTTGTAAATGTGAAAACAAAGTGTGTAACCTATTGTAGAACGTTATCTATATCTAGCACTACTTCAGCGTCAAATCAGTGCCTGGAATTGCTGTAACAAGCGAACCAGATCGGAATAAGTCGTACATCAAGATAATGGAAGAGAAGACAATGACAAACAGAAGGAAGGTTTACCATTGCAAGTTTAGTTGTGTTTAGGATTTGTCGAGTTGAACAATATCTTGCTCACTTCACCGGCAGCGATGTATCAAGTTGTCGTTCGTTTAATCTGCACTTGCACTCGAGCGTAGTAACCTTCATTGATGTTTTTTGCTTCATGACTCAATCGTAAAATTAATTATAAGCTATATTCAGTTAGAGATACAATAATACTTATTTTTCACTATTAATGTGATTTACCAGCATTCCACTGGAAAAGAAAACAATTAAATTCTTGTTTCCACTTTGGCCGTAACAAACAAACGACATGCTTTGAAAAAAAAATGGCTGCCATGTCAGAGGTCAATGTCTCAAAATATGTATTTTAGACGGGATTGCGAAAATAAAATGTATATATCAGATTAATTTTACATTGAAATATTTAAAATAAAAGTTAAAATAACTAAAATATTTAAATCGTAGCTAGTAGAATGGAAAATAAATATTAATTAGCTCATGAATATTAATGACCTCATGAATATTAATTAGCAACCAGCACTCAAATCAGGCTGGGCAGAACCCTGAAAATGGGACCCACAACACAGTCGAAATGTATAACATTTAGCTATACAATCATCTTATATTTAAATGATGTAATCTGCCTACACTGTAAATGTTGTTTATATTAGCAACATTCATTGTAGGTATATACTACAAAAAAAGTTGAAAATGTTTAAGTTTTATGGAAAGGCAAACTCAGCTTTGGAGTTAACTTACACTCAGACTCCACTGCTTGTTTTGGGTTCTATGTGCCAGTCCATCATTTCTACAATATGACTGGACTGATTTGGTTGATGTTGACAATGACAATGCAGGTCAATTTGTTTTTTCATTTTGTTGACCTGTGACCTACTGGTGACCATTTTGTCCCAAAAAACACCATAATCAACATTTTAACCTGTCTCATTTTTCTGGCATGCCTTGGCTGATTTCATTGAAACTTGGTATTTACATCTCACATGTTCAATTCATAATCAATTCATATTGATTATGGGAAACCATACTCTAGCACCGGCCTTAGCTGTCTTCTTAAAAACAGCTATGGAACAAAACAGCAACATTGGTTGCAAATTGTTTTCATTGTTTATTCGTATTTGTTTTTGATTTGTTTTATATTTTTAGAATAGTTTTTTTTTAGATTATAGTTTTTAAATTTCTTTTTATAAGACACTTTTTATCCTTTCCTCAGGATTTTATGCGTCTAATAAATATTATTATTACATGTATGCATGTCGTATTGTTTTGCATTTTCATTCGAAATGGCAGACTGAAGACCAATTATTTTTCTACCTGTTTCTTTGATAATATTTACACAACTGGAAGTCATTTTAATTAAATAAAATTCAGTTTTTAAATGAAATATCACAAATTTGAATAAAAATAAAAAGCCACCTGCATGCATGGATTTTAGAAAAACAAATTGACCAGAAACATTTGCTTTTTTTTTCCTGGTCTTTTACTCATTGATAAATTTGAATAATTGATTTCTTTGATTACGTTTCAGGCATCATTTCTCACAAAGAAGTTAAACATTGGTGGGAAAAGAGTTAATTTAGCAATATGGGTGAGTTGAAAAATAATTCCAGTATGCAAAGTCTTTGTTCTGTGTATGGATGTGCTGGATATCTGAAGAAACACATTTCGAATATCACAGACTCAATAAGAAGGTTTGTTCAAGGATGACGCCTGGGTAACCCATTAAATTACAGTAGAACGTCAATTTTCCGGATGTCGATTATCCGAAATGTTCGGTTATCTGAACGTACTGTGTGTCCCCCAAAGTTTGTATGCAGGTCTGGCTGTGTTCCGTATAATACAAAAGTCAACTGTGAACAATAAATACTACAGTCGTCTTGTGTGATTTCCTGGTGCAACACTTTCAATAAAGCTGTTATCAACATGTAATCCGACGTCTTTCGCGTGTACGTTCATTGTTTACAGTGTCTGCGCAAACAATGAAACGAATTACAGTATCCAATAATTTCCTAAATTCAGACAAGCCTATTACGCCACACCAGTGTTCCACTGTAAATAAAAAATGTCTTAAAACACAAACTTCATCAAATGTCCTCCCCACTGTTTACAGTCAAATCCTTAACTTTACCAAGTTGTTTCCCGGGGAAATTGTACGGGGTTCCACTGCCGTCAACGCGGCCATGAGCCGATCCCATGTTTTTTCCGATTTTTAATTTTAATGTCCAGTATCAGAAGTCACATCCTTTTCGGAATTAAAAAAGAAAGAAAATAACTTCTGGGATGTCTTGCCACAGAAGCAACGCCAGTTTAATAGTGCAGTGAAAAAGAGAGACGAAACGACAACCCCTTGGTGTGCCTCTTTGATGGTTTATCAGCAGACAACGGCAACCAATGACCACAGTCGGCGGGCCGTTTGATGGTTCACAGCGTCAAAGTGTTTACGTCCGATGATCACAG